CGCACACACACGCTCACACACACGCGCACACACACACACGCACACACGCACACACACACACTCACACGCGCGCGCGCGCGCGCGCGCGACGTGAGCCCCCGTGCGACAGAGACAGAGTGAGAGTTTATGTGTGTATGTGTGTAAGAGGTGGCAATATACATCGTGCACACACTCCTCTCTCCCACTCACACATGCATACACGCTGCCCAGTCTAAAAGCATGTGTCTGTTCATCGTGTAACAAATTTACTGACGATGTGAATTGTTCTATAATCTGTCACAACACTGTGTAAGCCAGCACTTACCATGTATTTCTCCTCATGCTTCATTGATCCTGCCTGCTTGTCAGTTTGATTTTCGATTATTGCACCACATTTACTCTGTATACTGGCATTCATTCGCCGCCTTACCTATTTTCCGATGCTCCGCAGTTTATAAAGCCTACATAGATACCATTTTATGTGCACTTACTGATTGATACAAGTGCAGCATTATTTTGTACTTAAATTGCACGAAATGTCACAGAGTGTTTTCAAACAGTATAATCATAAACCAAAATATAAGCTTGTTTACTGCAGGTAGGATAGGATTTTACACTCTGACATCAGGATGAGCTGAACATCTCATCATCACTGGCAGTCACACATACACGAACGTGAATGAGAGTGAGAGGGAGAGTGAAGGAAGAGACAGAGCAGGAGATAGCAAGAATGAGAGAGCAGGAGAGAGAGTGAAGGAAGAGACAGAGCAGGAGATAGCAAGAATGAGAGAGCAGGAGAAAGCAAGAATGAGAGAGCAGGAGGGAGAGTGAAGGAAGAGACAGAGCAGGAGATAGCAAGAATGAGAGAGCAGGAGAGAGAGAGTGAAGGAAGAGACAGAGCAGGAGATAGCAAGAATGAGAGAGCGGGNATAGTATAGATAATCTTTGTTATCTAATACAATTTCCCATGTACAAGCACTGTGTAAGCGCAGCACTGTTTACCATGTATTGCTCTTCTCATGGCCTCATTGATCCGCTACTTGTCAGTTTGATTTTCGAATGGCATTGCAAGCCACATTTTACTCTGTATACTGCATTCATATCGGCACGCCTTACCTATTTTCCGTTTGCCCGCAGTTTTATAAAGCCTACAATAGATACCATTTTATGTGCAGCATTATTTGTACTTAAATTGCACGAAATGTCACGAGTGTTTATCAAAACAGTAACTAATCATCAAACCAAAATATAAGCTTGTTTAGCTTGCAGATATTTTTTCCCATGTAGGTAGGATTTTGAAGGCACTCTGACATGCAGGACGAGCTGAACATTCATCATCACTGGCGCTAGTCACACATACACGAAGCGTGAATGAGAGTGAGAGGGAGAGTGAAGGAAGAGGAGCAGAGGCAGGAGATAGGCGAGCAATGAGAAGAGCAGGAGAGAGAGTGAAGAAGAGACTAGAGCATGGGGGACGGAGGTAGGCTAAGATGAGAGAGCAAGGAGAGAGAGAGTGAAGGAAGAGACAGAGGCAAGGAGATAGGGCAAGAATGAGAGAGGGCAGGAGAGAGAGTGAAGGAAGAGAGCAGAGCAGGAGATAGCAAGAATGAGGAGCAGGAGAGAAGAGTGAAGGAAGAGACAGAGGCAGGAGATAACAAGAGATGAGAGAGCAGGAGAGTAGAGAGTTGAAGGAAGAGACAGGGCAGAGATAGCAAGAATGAGAGAGTGAAGGAAGAGGAACAGAGCAGGAGATAGCAAAGATGAGAGAGCAGGAGGGAGAGTGAAGAGAAGACAAAGAGCAGGAGAAGCAAGAATGAGAGAGGGGCAGGGAGAGAGAGTGAAGAAGAAGACGAGGGGAGGAGGAGGGGGGGGGCAGGAGATAGCAAGAATGAGAGAGGGCAGGAGAAGAGAGTGAAGGAAGAGACAGAGCGAGGAGATAATCAGAATGAGAGAGGCAGGAGAGAGAGAGTGAAGGAAGAGAACAGAGCAGGAGATGGCAAAAGAATCGAGAGAGTGAAGGAAGAGAGCAGAGCAGGAGATAGCAAGAATGAGAAAGAGCAGGAGGAAGAGTGAAAGGAAGAGACAGAAGGCAGGAGATAGGCAAGAATGAGAGAGGGCAGGAGAGAGGAGTGATATGAAGAGAGCAGAAGCAGGAGATAAGGGCAAGAATGAGAGAAGCAGGAGGGGAGTAGTGAAGGAGAGACCAGAGGCAGAGATAGCAAGAATGAGAGAGGCAAGGAGGGTAGAGTGAAGGAAGAAGAACATGAGCAGGAGATAGCAAGAAATGAGAGAGCAGGAGGGAGAGTGAAGGTAGGAGAGAGCAGAGCAGAATAGGCAAGAATGAGAGAGGCAGGAGAGAGAGTGCAAGGAAGAGAGCCGAGAGGAGATAGCAAGAATGAAGAGAGGCAGGAAAGAGAGGAGAAGGAAGAGACAGAGGCAGGAGATAGCAAGAATAAGAGAGCAGGAGGGTAGAGTGAAGGAAAGAAGACAGAGCAGGAGATAGGGCAAGAATGAAGAGAGCAGTGAGAGAGAGTGAGAGGAAGAGACAGAGGGCAGGAGATATCAGAATGAGAAGAGGCAGGAGGAGAGTGAAGAAAGAGACAGAGCAGGAGATGCAAGATGAGAGAGCTAGGTGAGAGGTGTGAAGGTAAGAGACGAGCAGGAGATAGGCAAGAATGGAGAGAGTGAAGGAAGAGACAGAAGCAAGGAGATAGCAAGAATATGAGAAGAGGCAGGATGGAGAGTGAAGGAAGAACAGAGCAGCGAGATAGCAAGAATGAGAGAGCGGGAGAGAGAAGGATGAGAGAGGCGAGCAAAGTTGTGGCGCGATGGCGTGAGCGTGGCGTGCGTGGCGTAGTGGAAGGGGGGGAGCGAGTGAGCGTGAGAGTAGGCCTATGCGAGAGAGTGTGTGACAGAGTGATCCCGTGACTTGTTCCTCGGTACGACTATGTCTTGAAATCCAGATCCGCAACAAAACAAAACTAGTTCGTCCGGTTGTTTACGAACTAGTGTGCTACGATGTAGATGCCACTGGTGACGCCTGTAGGGATAAAAGCACCGAGGACCGCCACGGCCTTCAGTCCTAATGAAGTGTACATGGAGTGGGAGTTATTGAGTGAGTTATGACATACATCACTGTTTACAAATCTCTGTTGCATCTCTGTTTTTAGTTAAGTTCTGCGACATACATGCACTGTTTTACAAAAAGCTTCAGTTTCTTGTTGCTTTCTAGTGTTTCTAGTTTTTCTTTTATTTTCAGTTTCTATATGAAAGTGATCAGTGAACAATAAAGTTAACAATGAAACGCTTTTTCTAAATGTTCTTATCTTCATAGACTAATGCACATTAACCAATAACAAGTACTAGGCAGCAATAAATTATCGGTAATGACTGGGAATGTTTGAGGCTAATATTCATTGCTAGATTAGAAGTAAGAATAGTAACTTTAATTAGAAGTTGGGTTAAGCCAACGTCTACGATATTTCGTATCAATAGTTCTTTTGCAACTTATAGTTTGTTTTTCCTCCATGTATTCTCTGTATGTTCCTAGTTTATGGAAGATGTGAACATGTTCTATTCCATATAATATTATTCTATATTGCAGATGAAGATTCAGGACAGGAGGACAGTAGGAGCATCAGAGTGCGGCGAATGAGAAAAGGACAGGCAGGCACCCTCTACGTGCCTGCCGGCTACGTGGTCGTAGCACAGCGAAGTAAATAATTGCCCACTGACTAAATTAGCCCCCGTACCATCAGCCGCTCCCTCCGCACCGGAGGTGGGGGCGATTACTCCATGGATAATCATCCGCGCAGGGGCGATTGCGCACGCCAGCCGGAGGATTCGCTCAGCCGGCTTTCCTCCTAGATAACTACTCCTCCCTCCACGGAAGATTTTCGGGGAATTAAAGTAAATTCAACACGATAATCTCACGCTATTTGTTTTAGAAGTTAGAACCGATATATATATGTATAACTCCTCGTGTGAACGCAGCAATAGAGGAGCTCCATGCAGGTGGCAGAAAGTGTATCTAGGTCACGCTGGTGGCGCGCTCTCTCGCTGCCGTACTGTGGCTTCAGCCTCGGCGTGAAGTCGTGTACTTCATGGCACGCACGCAACGCTGGACTTGCGTGCACGCACACAGAGCGACAGCGAGTGAGTGGATGATGATAGACAGCATGCGCTTACATAAATTAAAATCTGCTCTCCTCTCTCTGCTGGCTGCTCTCTGCTCTCCTCATCTCTGCTCTCTCTCTCTCTGCTCATCTCGTCTCTCATCTGGCTCTCTCTTTCTCTCTCTGACTCTCGTGTCTCTCTCTCCTCTCTCTCCTGCTGCTGCTCTCGTGCTTTGCTTCTCTCTGCGGTCTCATCTGCTGCGTCGTCATCTCTCTCTTCTCTTAATCTCATCTATCTCTTTCGCTAACATCATATATTTATATTTGTATGTATAATTTATAATAATACATAACGTCATTATAATTCGATCATGTTCATTCATGTTTTCAGGCTATGAAAGAATATACTGGGATCATCAATAATTGAGATTGAAACAATTGATAAGTTCACCAGTCTTACAGATAAGCACCTACTGCATAGATTATTGCTTAGGTTAGCACAGTTATAATAGTGTCATTGTCTTGTTTTCCAATTCTATCTACTAGCAGTGAAACAAAAGATTTAACTATATACGTATTGTTGTAAGTAAGCTAAATTATGCTTGTTTCTGATGATGAATGTATTTTTGTACGTGCGTACGTGCATGTGAGTGTGCGCGCGTGCGTGTGTGCGTGCTCGTGTGTGTCTGAGCGCGCAACAGGTCGATCGGTCGATACGGTCTATACGGCGTAACAGTATCCGTGGATTATGACTATGATAACAAAAGCTTGCTATATTATGTATGGGGTATACAATTATCTAATGTATTGTTTTAATATATATATATTTATTTATTTATTTAAGCGTGTTTTAGTGTAGGCGGCGCTGGGAGTTGCCTCGTGCTAGAATCCCTTTATATTGAGTGTAAAGGGATTCTACCTCGTGCGTCGTGGTCTCGGCTAGATAGAGTGCTACGTACTACGTGCTGCGTGCGTGTGCTAGTCAAGTCAACCACCATGTTTGAGTAGGAAACGTGCGATATATTTGTTTGTGCAACTTTATATATTGTGAATAATTGAAGGCATTCGGTGTGTATTTACTCGGCAGACCGTGTGGATTACAGTACGAGCGAGTGGTAAGTGTTTGTCTGACTTTATACGTGTCGTAGGTGGATAAGTGACAGACAGACAGGGTCCCGTAGCTCCAAGAAACGGTATTGCTATGGTTAGAATACCCGTATATACTGTGTATATTGACGTCAGTCACACAGCCTGGTCGGGTTGAGGGTCCCGTAGCCTTTACATGAGTTGGTGGCGTGTTGAATTCAACTCTCAAATCTCAAAAAAGTTATTAGTGAATATTTCATTTTTTAAGTATTATTATTTGTTTATTTAACTTACTAAAGTAAGCGTGAACCCGTGAGGGCGTTATAGTCGAAATGATATGGATCCATGCAAAGAAATAGACGGTGATGCCAACGTAATAGTTTCTAGAAGAGAATAAATAATTAACGGCTGATGGTAAAATAATTATCAGTTTCAATGAGACGTTTTAATATCCGGCCGTTTCACGCCTCATGCTACACCCAAATCAGTTGCCTCAAGAATGCCTCGGCATATAAATATAACGTGTGGTTGTGTTGGCTAAGTAACGTGCGATATACGTGTTCGTGTTACTGTATCAAGACAGTAGCTTTATATTATAATACGTTATTACCAGGAGTGTCATAATATAGATGTATGAGATATATACTAGATGTAAGATAGATCTATATTCTGAAACTCGTGTTATCACTTCATTCATACGTGTATTATTTACTCAGTTAGGTCATACAGATAAATAGATGTCAAAATTTTACCGTCACGCACGCACCAGCGCGTGCCATTACTAAAATAAAATTCATACGCTACAGCCTTTGATACAGACACACACACATATACATGCACGCACGCACGCACGCACGCACGCACGCGCACGCACGCACGCACACACACACCTGACACACACCTGACAGACCTAACACACACAAACACACAAACACACACAACAGCACACACACACACACAACACACACGCACACGCACACACTCCTGACACGACACATCCACACACCACCCCACAACACACACACACACACGCACACGCACAACACATCTGACACCACACACCACACACACACACACACACTGACACACACACACACACACACACACATACAAATACACACACACAGCCCACACCACACACACACACACAGGCACACACACACACACAGCACACCACACACACGATACTACTAGACAATGGTGTACGCAAGACGCACAACACAACAACACCACACACACACACACACACACCACACCACAGCACACCAGCCACACACACCACACACACCACACACACACGGACACACACACGCACATCATACACGCGCGCACGCAGGGAACGCCACACACACCACACCTACATAAGGTTCTCGGTAAGACGTCTACATTTTCTGCTGTTAGGAGGATTAACAGGCTCGGGTAAAATTGGGGCTAGAAAGACGGATTTTCTCGCTTTAACCCGTCGGGTATCAAGCCTATGTAGCATTGTGACACACTTAAAACAATTTCTTTTCATATCATAAATTACATAGAAATGAACTTCCCTAAAATATAATAGTTGCAAATCTCGCTTTCGCCTTTTTTAAAATTCTTTTTATCGGTTTTAAAGTGTAAAATTTCCTAGTCCATTTTTTTTGATAAATACTTCCCTAATAAGGGACTTATTTTTATTTTCCTCCATTTCTCTGTTCTAAGCAAGTAACTTTTAGAGCTAAGAAGTTTTGCTTTAATCGTAAACCCCGTCTTGGATCGCGCTGCGATGACGGAGAAGCGGTCCGACACGGGTCATGGCAATAGCAGGTGAAATTTATCGTTTCGATGTCCTCCGACGTATATTATATCAAGAAGCTATTCAATACAAATAAGCTATATATAATATTATTTATTAATAAGCTAATATATAATATTATTTACTAATAAGTTACATATAATATTATTTATTAATAAGCTATATATAATAATGTTTATTAATAAGGCCTATATATTATTATAATAACTTAATATTATTTATTAATAAGCTATGTATAATATTATTTATTAATAAGCTATAATAGATTATTATATAAGCTATATATTAATAATAAGCCGTTTATTAATAGCTATAAATAATATTATTTATTAAATAAGCTATATATAATATTATTTATTAAAATAAGCTATATAAATATTTTATTAATAAGCTATATATAATAATGTTTATTAGCTCTTGATTATGTCAACGCAACATCCGTGCGACCGCCAGCGGCTGCATGGTTCCGTTCCTGAACTGGCTCCTGGTTTTTACAAAAGCTGGCCTGTCCGACTATTTAAACCTATGCAGTGGGTATATGCTTGCAGTTGTATATAATCAAGATATAATCGTGTTCACAGCCTAACACGCATACGACTGACTACTTACACACCGATGTGACGGCTCTGATCATGAAGACTGCGATCGTAAGTACATATCTATAGCCGTCAGCGTACATCTTACCTACGCCTAATGGAAGCAATATATAGACGACGATGGATCTATTCTCCATCCTCTATAAAATGACCGCTAACACAGGATATTTATATATATATATATATATCAAGAGCTCATAATAGAGATTGTATTAGACTATAGAGACTTTATTATGAGCTCGTGATATATATATATATATATAATCAGGGGTTAATAATGACAAATTTGTCGTTATTAACCCCTGATATAATCAAAAGCGTATAAAGAAATAATGTATATGTGTGTGTGTGTGTGTGTGTTTGCTTAAAGCAGTTCAATTCATGCTGGCAAAAACATATTAGATTGTGCACGAAAGCCGGTACCTATATGGAATCATTTACAATTTTTTACATGCGACTCGCACGCGAGCACGCACGCACCAACACACACATCACGCGCGCAGATTAACATGCCCACGCACATGCGCACACACTTTAAATCGTAGTCATATTATTTGCAGGAGATATTATACGTATCGGCGTTTGTCGTCATCCTACTTGTCTGCGGAGGTAATCATCGATAACCATCACACGATAGAAGAAATACAGAAAATTTATCGACATGCGATTGCTACGGGTTCATAATACTGTGGGGCGTTAATAAATGAGCAACTTTTAACTTAACGTTAGCATGCCGTGTAACTAATGTAATGAAGAAATAAGTTACGTAACGTAAGAGTAACGAATAAATATTTGAATAAATGAATGAATAAATAAATTAATAAATGGCTAAATGAGAAATCAATAAATAAATACATAAATAATGTTGCAACATAACCTCACAATAATGTTGAAAACGGACCTGACATAGGGAGAGGTGAAGACAGGAGCGTTAGGTTTGATGAAGAACTGGAAAAGATGAGGAGGGAAAAACCTGATCCGATCACAAATCTTGGACTTTATGATGCATCGGGCCGCTTGAAGCCAGGCGTGGTAAGTCTTGATTATT